ACAAGAGCCGCCATAACAGTATATTTTTTGTAACAAACTGCACGGAAAGATTAATATATCTTGCACGTTTATAAACTTTAACATTCGTCTGTGCATTGAATATTGCTGCCATATCTGGTCTTGAGCTATGACTATATATCTCGTAATTCTTGACATCAAAGAAGAATTGGTAATGTTAATGGTCTTGATCTGACATCTCGAATTCAATCACTTCCCCACCGCTGTGATGTTACTGACTTTTCGATAAATATTTCCATAGTAGTTGTTCTAATAATTTCTCTCAATTCATTGACCTCATGTATTTAATCTTACTACTAGACTTGTAACTAGGTTGCATCGTTTTACACTTGAAATGTGAATATATATTCTACTTCTTAATTGTGGAAATCTTATCTGGTTTCTTACTTACATGAAACTACAATTTTAAAAAATTGAAATGCAACGTCAATCGCAATCTTCTGTCTTCCTGAAACCTGATCGTTTATTGTCTTTTCTTTTTAGTAAAATTTTCCAATTCTTTTACACTCCTAGTAATGCCTTTTATTCATTATCGCCTTATTAAACTTATTATTATATATATATATATATATATATATATATATATATATATATATATATATATATATATATATATATATCGTGTTATCTAGAGTCATCAACAATTTTAACAAAGTCAAACGCTCAAGCCCTCTGTCACGATGACTTGTGACTTGTGTGACTTCGTGCTAGCACAGCTATCGACGTCACCCAAGGGTTGCGTCTGCCCAATTTCACTCACAAGGATATCCGAAGATGCCGCACGCTGGGATCGACCCCTCCAGGCCGCTAACATCAGGAAGTCTCCTTACTGACAAATAGAGATCATGGTGGGGAAATTGTCACCATTTTATCTTTTTCATTTAGCGCATGCGCGTTGTATGTTTTTTGGTTTTGTTGTCTGCGCAGTATAGAGTCAGTTGGGCACTATCTGCGAGAAAAGGTTCACGATGACGCAATTCACTCTGCCAGAAATTTGGAAACGTCATGCTGCAGTGCTTAAAATTTGCGCATTTCAGAATGTTTGGGTGTCAATCTGATGACAGTACTGCGGATTCGGAAAGAGTTGGATGAGTCTAATCGTGATTACGAAGGTACGACAGATTGGAAAAGTCACCCACTCTGATCGTTCTGATAAGAAAAGAAATCTCGAATTTGTTGCTGAGTGCTACAGACTCAACATGGAGGCCTACATCAAATGCCTTGATGTGGTAGTGGTGCCCTGGGTCAAGAGGGTGGCTGCTGGAAGACTCTCTGTCTGGAAACAGGACACTGCACCATGCAACACTAACGAGCGGACCCAGTCATGGCTATCAGACAATTTCTGGGACCATATCACACCTTACATCTAACTCCCCAGACTGCAACTGCCATGATTATTTTGTGTGGGGTACAGTTGAGCGAGAGACTAACAAAACCACTTGTGACAGCAAAGAAGAACTGAAGGCAAGAATTATTGCAATGTTCACCAACATAAAGAAGGAGACCCCCCATAAAAGGTGTAGGAGATTCCGAAGTCGTCTTGAAGCTTCGTGTGGCGCCAATGGCGATTATATTGAATAAATTTACTGTTTCGTATTTCAAGATATTTTTGTGTAATTTGGTAAATATGTCTATTAAATGAGATTTCATTTCTGCGTGATTTAGACGACAATTTGTAAATATTTATATATATATATATATATATATATGTGTGTGTGTGTGTACATAAGTGCGAAAAAAGAATTTTGGATACGATTATTTAGTCAGAATTGTCCTTCACGAGACTCTGTCTGTTATGGTAATGATAATATTGATATTAGCCGTTTCCTCATAGACGAACATTAGATATGCAATGACCAACTACTTCCGTTTGAAATTTATAGAATGTTTTCATGAAAACAATTTTAAAATGTGCTTCTGTGAATAACGACAATTAAGAGGTGGTTCCACACTCATCAAAAGCTCCAATCTACCGATCAGAGGTCGTGCTTCCGAATGAAATTTTTTTTTCTGTATGGTAAAATAACATGCAAGAGTTTAAATGAATCGTTCTTTCCGGGTCCCGCCGAGGGACCTAAGGTTAGAAATGGCATCATGACACTTTCCACTGACAAAAAAAAAGTAAAAAGATTACATAGATAAAGCCCTTCGTAAAGTGTGGGCTGTACTTGTCAGAACAATTTTTTGTATCTCCTTGAGGCATGGACTTCCAGGGATCCCTTCAATTAGTCTACTGCAATCTTTTCCAACCAGTCCTAGGGCTCCAACTACAACAGGGATTGTTGATGTTCCCATATACCAGATTTTCGAGATTTCTATTTCAAGATCCTTATATTTTGACAGCTTTTTGAATATCTTCAAAGATAAATTGCAGTCAGCAGGGGCTGCCATATCAACAAGGAGGCACCGTTTTTTTTTGTGGTCTTTAATAACAATTTATTATTATTATTATTATTATTATTATTATTAGCAACAACAAAAGCATTTTCCATTTTAAGAATATGTTAAATGATTAACATAATGTTTCTCGGTAAGACGATTTCTAAATAAAGAAAATTACTGATAATATTTCTTATGTTTCTTCATAAATGCATAAAATGTTCTATTTTCTTTTGAGAAATCGCTTCATAAATGATCGACAGAAATAAATTAGTGTTTGAAGCATACATTCTATTGTCATAGGCTACATGAATCTTCTCACAGTCATCAAAATGAGAAATAAATTGATTTAATGACAACAAAAGTAAATATTGTTTTGTTTCGTGTGTTATAAGACCTGCGTTTGTTCCAGTGATCGGTGTTCAAACTCAGGCAAATGTTTGGAATTCTGATTATTTAATCAGACTGGAATTCCCTAAGGAGAAGATACATCCAAAACAAACTTTATTCTAAGCGGAGATAAAGAATTCTAAAACTAAGATACGGGCCAATGAGCCGTTTAATTTATCCGTCCGCTTTATATATTTTGACATTCAATAGCATCTATGATTAATTGATTACTGCTAGTATTAGATAAATTGTTTTTCTTCAATATCTTTTCATGTTAAATATTTGATGTGTTTAATATAACAGTGAAATACAAATATCTTACGGAAGAAAAAGACGTCAAGCCTTATTTCAATACTACGTTGAAACAAGACGATTATTGAATAGACAAAGGTATCTGAGTGCCTTACATGAAAAACTTGAACAAATAAGGCTGCAATCTAAGAATTCAATAAAAGAATTGAATAATTGAACCTTTCATTTTGCTCCGGAGCTAATTTGTACAATAGAGATATTTTATTTGTATAGATTATTAAAAAAAATAAAGAAACTAGTCACTCATAAATTTACTAACTTAAGTTGATTACCTTCCCTACCACTACAGATGGGACAAGAAAGATGGGACAAGAAATATATAAATAAATACGCGTTGATAGTTTGATTATTATTATTATTATTATTATTATTATTATTATTATTTTAATAACTTCCTGTGTCTAAGTGTTAACATTGCAGATGGCATATTATGATGCATTCATGTCTCACTCGTTAACTCAGTCTTCCATTTTGAGTGTAATACCATAGAAAGGGAAGGCTACATTATTTTGGAGGTAGAACAGGTTGTTCGTTCAATATTTACTTTGTCTTTTATAATGCTCTTCCCCACCATTTTATCTCTCTCTATCCCTCCATGCCTCTTTCTTTCTTTCTTTCTTTCTTTCTCTTTCTTTCTCTCTCTCACTCCCTCTCTATCCCCTATCTTACTTTGCAAACGACTGTACACGATAACTGTTGCTTAAATGACATCACGGAAATATCTGTCGTCAAAATGTCTCAGCCATTTTATGTCCAGCATTTTCTTTCTTCCTTTTCTTTTTGTCTAAGCTTATTTATTTTTTTATTCATTTTGATTATTAATCTTATGCATGTCAATTTATATATAATCTTTATAAATATATTTAATAACCCTATTTTATCAGTAACTACAGAAACTATCTCTGAGAGTTAAGAATGCTTTCTAAGTCGTCAACAACCAAGGAATCTTAGAGAATCCAGTTTATTTTTTATTGCTGCTGTCCTTATATCGGGAAGGACTGCAATGTAATTCTAGAATCAAATTAAATTAAATGAGAACTCGAAAAACGATAGAACTGGAAAATGACTAATTAGTTTTGCAAAAATAGCAATTTTCTTATGAAATACCAAATCAACTCTTAAAGCAGTCGTGTCATTTTGTTGCATATGATCAAGGTCGGCCCATATAATTAAATAGCATGTCGAAGGTTGTAATACTTTTAAAAAATCACACTTTTCTTTCGAGATATGCCACATATATTGAATATCTAAGGATACAGGCGTTTCCAAGAGGAATTTATAATATATTTTTAAACTCTTTCTCCCTTCAGAATGTAGACAGAAACTTTCCTTTATTATCTGTAAACTCCCGCGACGTTATGAAAATTTTAAGAAATTAGCTTCCAATTGCTATATCTACTTTTTTGAATTCAAATCTGCTGGTTGCTACCCTAAGCTAGAGATTAAAGAAATTTATTTAATCCATATTTGGCCGGTTGAGACAAGATGGGGATTTGAACTCGTCTCGTTGATTCCATTTTCAGTATAGTTAACGGTTATGCTATCTTCATATGCTTTATAATACTAGCAATGCGTAAACGCTTTCAATTTTTTTGTTTTATTAAAATTGTCAACTGTTTTGTTTCTAGCGTTTGAAAAACTGGCTCCTGGAAACGACTGTACACACCTAAGGAAAACATTGTGTAAGAAGTAAGTTAGGATTTAGTGACATCTTGATTAGCAATATGGACAATGCCAATATCTTTGCCATAGATAAACAAATTGGGATCCGCTGGAATTAATATTGGGAATAACAATGATGTAAAAAATTCTTCCATTGATAAATGGCTGTAAATGAAATTCCGGTATCGTGGATTAGATAAACATCTGTAAAGAAAAATTGAAAATAACAAAATACTTACCTCTGATCTCTTGAGAAAGAGATAAAATAATCACAGTAAATGCTAATAATCTTTCCATGATTGGGAAAATTCCACTCTGAGATTTGATATCTGTAATCCTTTTCAAAGAGTAGGACAAAGAGCTGGAAAAAAAGAAAAAAAAGGAATCATAAAAATGGAATATAAGACTTTGTTGTTAATAATAATAATAATAATAATAATAATAATAATAATAACAATAATAATAATAATAATCAGTAGCTGAGAATGAGTAAGTGAAGCTTATCTGTGATACGACCATCTTGATTGACAAACGCTAGGAGAGAAAACGCCTTGATATCAAACTTTTTTTTTTTTGCATAAGAGCGGCCATGAATGTGTTCTGATAGACGTTTTCATGCCTTGACATTAGAACCTCGTGAAGACGTAGCAAGAAAAAAGTTAGCAAAACCTGGCAGGTCAAACAGAAACGTACAAAGTAACTGCCAAAGTTGTTCCTTTTGTGGTTGACGCACTTTAAATATTTTCATAAGTCTTTCTGCTTCGCAAGATGCCTTGAGAACATTTGACATCATTGGGAGTGTGCAGGTGGCAGCGCTGCTTAAAAAAATCTCATATGCAGGGCAAATTTTGTACCTATACGATGCGCGTAAGAGCTGAGATACGATCAATATCGCGAGGCTGAAACATGTAAGAGTCTGAGATGATGCCAACTCAAATATTGATAATAATAATAATAATAATAATAATAATAATAATAATAATAATAATAAATGTTTCTGTCTATTTGAGATGGGAATCGGAAACAAAGAAACGGAGTTGATCGACAGCTACAACGATTTAAAAATATGACATTTTGAAAATTCGGGAAATACAAACGATCAATGTAATTACAGTACCAATGATCTTTGGAACACTGAAACATGTCAGAAAATAATAATAATAATAATAATAATAATAATAATAATAATAATAATAATAATAATAATAATTGTAATGACTTGAGGCTAAACCAGGCATACCTCTAATTGATTCCGAACTTAACTGATTGAAATTATTAGCATGTACATATTTTGTCTTGTTGAGAAAAGATCAGCTACAATAAATAGCACGATCAATATCGCAGATTTGTCTCTCAGTTCCCTGACCTTAAGCAGTTGGCCATTTCCCTAGGGTCTGACGGGTTGTGTATCTGATAGTAGTTGGGGAATATCAGGTGTCGAAAGGAATGATTTTGAAGCCGCCAAGGTGACTTAGGTGTTGCATCTAGATACTTGGTAACACATTTAAACGGAAACCATCAAACCAGACTCGGTTAACCGACCAGAGCATATTTCTAACTGGGGTCTAGCTATCAGATGAAGCTACATTTACCAAAACTTCTCATCATATAGCGCACATTTGGTTGTGACGCATGTGTCTGGTATACCCTTATCAGGCCTCAAAATCGGTATATTGAGTTTTGTATATTGGTGAATATTAGGGAATGTAGAATTTAAAAACAACCAAGATTTCAATGATAATAGCGAATCTCAGAAAACCATTCTTTATCTGAGATACATAAGGTTGTGGAATGCACAACGCTCGGGGACTTAAAAAACTCTATCAATGTGCTCAAGAATTTTTTTCAGAATGAATGGAACGACTGTGTTGCAATAAAAAAAGGAAAAAATGTAATAAAATGCAATAAAGCAATTGTAATAAAATAATAGGCATCCACCAACAATTTTCCCCACATTTTTTTTTTCATAGTCGCGTCGGATTATCCGATTTGCCGGACCAACGAGTGACGTAATAACAATTCAATAATGCACAGGAGATCCACTAAATATACTTCTCAAGTATCTCCCCAGCATTATCGACAGTTAGACAGGTGAATTAGAATGGCAATCACGTGATGTTCAAATGATTGCGCGTGACGTTGTCCGGATTAAAAGAGGTGTTGGGTCACTTGTAATATTTAAATTGCATCGTCGAAAGAATGTTCAAGACGGATACTAATGATTAAATATGACGAAGCAAAATGCAGACATGGAAAACGAAAGAAACATAAATTATTCAAAAGATGAAGATATGGCTTTTGCTTCGTGAGTGAAATAGTTGCCTAATTCCCATCCATGGGCGTCTGCTAGGCGATAGGCAGAAAACAATTTATCCTCCACATCGGTGGGTCAATAGTGCATTATATATCAAGTGCACCATCTAACATATGGATAATCCAGTCGTTCGTACTCGCTTACACTGTAACTGGTCAAAAGTGCAGCAATATCTGTAGGAGGGGGAATGTTTGAATAGCTTTTTAAACTGCTGTGTCACGACATTTCAGTGTAAATAAATTTCTTATTGAATTTTTTTCTTTTTATTCAAATTTTCAATTATACATTTGACTTCTCAAATAAAAACACTAAGCAATCTATCGTGTATATATATATACAGTGTAACCCGGATATAAGAGAAACCCGGATATAAGAGAGATTTTCTCTGGTCCCAAATTAGAGTCTGTGTTAATGTATATAAAATAGACCAAACACGGATATAAGAGAAACCCGTATATAAGAGACTTCTTCTCCGGTCCCGACAACTCTCTTATATCCGGGTTACACTGTAATTATTTATTCGAAAATTATAACATAAATATGTTATAAAATCACTACAGAAATAGCCATTTTGTTTCAAAACTTCTGGTGTCTACTTTCAACGGTATCACTTGTTAAGGCACCAGAAGTCTTAAAACAAAATATCTATTTTTGTAGTGATTTTATAGCATATTTATGTTAAAATTTTCGGATAAATAATTATATTTAACTCTACTATGTATTAAGCACTCTGTTAAGAATAGTATTTTTTGGTTATTGGAATTTATTCCGTATACACTAATCCTATATATATATATATATATATATATATATATATATATATATATATATATATATATATATATATATATATATATGTATGTATTAAAAAGTTTGTTGTCAATGCCCCAAATTTTGGAAAGCTGTGTTTTGTATTAAAGGATCACCGGTAAGATATATTTTGAATCTATGTTTTTGTCAATCTCTTCATAAAACTAATAATGGGAGCGAAAGTGGCAATAAGCGCCTTTATTCCCAATGATGACAGAAGGTGTTCGTCGGATCTCATTAATATTCATGATGCAGGATTTTCCTAGCGGACATATAGTACTTTTTAACTTGAACCCTTGACGTAGCACATTGTTCCTCTCTATCTCTTTCTCTCTCTCTCTCTCTCTCTCTATATATATATATATATATATATATATATATCTTTTAGAGAGAAGGAAATTAAATAAGCAAAAAGAGAAGGACGTAATATAGTCTTTAAGTTGATATTGCTGGAAAACACACACACATTCTATATATATATATATATATATATATATATATATATATATATATATATATATATATATATATATATATATATATATATATATATATATATATATATATATATATATATATATATATATATATGCTGGCTGGATGATTGTTGCAATTTGCTCTATAGTTATTTCTCACCGATAGAAGAGTTCGGTGTTCAAGCGCAACTTAAAAGCCAAATCATCTTTTTTTTTTTTCAAATTAATAACGTCAAATCGTTTAAGATATCACGTAAGTTGGGACAGTAATCGCTTTTTCATTCTTTGTCTGCTAGGGTGGTTAGCTAATCCCTGTACGAGGCGCCTGCTTTGTCATATTTGTCTTTCTTCAACATTTACACACCCAATTTGTGGCTTATACTGCAGCTATGCTGATCGGACTTTGGTTACATTTTCTGGAAGAGTGTACATATTCTGGCGTTATCAACAAAATAAACCATCGATCACGATAACTTGCTCGTACACATATCGACGGCTTCCCAAAAAACTTTCTCTTAACAATTTCAATTACAATGCTTAACACTTGGTATGTGATTTTAGGATCTTCTCAATGATACCGCGGGCTGAGATTGTCCTCCCAGGCCGCTAATATCCCTTTAAAATTTCACAAGATGAGTTTCCAAGCCGGGATTCCAAATGCTAAAAATCTAACCCCGTTTGAGCCATTTAACCAGATATATAGAATAAAAACCCAAAAGGAAATAAAATGAGTGAGTCTCATCAATACTGGTTGCCCTGTACTCGTGGTTTTGTGTAACCCAACAAGTTGTTCTTGAAAAGGTTTTGGACTGAATCATTTTTTAAAAATCTGATCAAATTACAAAAAAAAAAAAAAAAAATCAACAACAAAAAACAGATCCATCAGACCGCAACATTTCCTCATCTACTTGTATACTAAATTATGGAGACAGCCAAGGGAGTGAGTCATTGTGCCTTCTCGAGTTAACATTCTCGGCTGACATAAAATGGAAAGACTATATTGAAACCATTGCTAGGTCAACTGCGAAGAAAGTTGGTTCAACGTGTCATGCTATACAATTTTATCTCCAAAATTTATCTTACATATCTATATACCATTCCATTCGCCCATACTTAGTATATTACTGCCCCATGTGGTCTGGTGATCTTGCTATATATTTAAAATTCTTGATAAAATCCAAAGACGAATCAAAAAATATTATTGGTCCTGGTAAAGTTTTCTCCCTCTGCCTTTTCTATAAATATTTTCATGGTAATTGTTCGGATGAGCACTCATCAATGGCACTAGACTTTATGAATTTACGCACCGTATTAGATTGGCAAAAAGTCTGATCATTTTAAGTGTAACTTCTATACTAACAGCTTCTTTCTCGAAACACTACTTTGTGAGAATTTTTACCGGTTCCATGTTTTGCAATTAACTTTGATCTTTTAAAAGTGTAAATACAATATCATGCTCTCTTCCTGTTTACACTTCTACCATTCTTGCTCCTTAATAATACACTCTGTAACAACTTTTGTTCAATTGGCTTTACTGCGACAAAAAAATTAAGCAATTGATGCCCAATATACTTTGTTATGGAACAGTGGCTTGCACGATAATCTTGAAAGCCCCAACTGCTAGAGTGTGTTTACACATCACTGGCTTCTTCAGTATTAAACTAACTTATGTCAGATGAATAAATATGTAATATGCT